CCCATCTATCCCCCTTACCCCCCCTGCCCACATTCCTCGCGGTAACCTGCATAAAAGAATGTCAATCTCAAAAAACACCTGCGTGAGAACTACGGTGAGGTTTCGGAAGCAGAATTTCTAGGCAAGTGGGTGCGCCCAGCGTCTGTAGCACACATACACGTCTTCAACAATGTTTGAGATTCTGCAAGTTATTTTTTTGAATTTTCAGGCATACTCCAGACCAGCAAATTCGACTCCCGTATGCGACACAAATTTTTGCACGGAGAAAAAAATGACATTCTTGAGCTACAAAAGATGTTTTCGACTAAAAAGCTTACTTCCTACCTCTTCCACAGTTTTTCCCGCGAAAAAAACCGCTTGAACGCCGTCCAGAACGACGTCAAAAACATCATGAGCACGGTAGTTTGAAAATTCGTAACTAAGGCCAGGAAAAAACTGAGAGGCTGCAAAGCACAGGTTCTGTAGCATGGTGCCCAGACTATCAATAGAAGAAGTTTCATCCCTTGAGGAGCAGTAAGCTCGAAAAAATTTAGATGCGACTCTCGAGATGCGATCCTAAAAAGCAAAAACTGGGATTTTTTAGCTCAAAATTTTGTAACTTATCGGAGAAGTTATAAAACAGCCTGCAATTTTTATGAGGGAAAGTAGGAGGACGGTCTCATATTACAGTTAAATTGCAGCCAACAAGCTTCGATAACTCCGAAGAAATTTAGATGCGACCCAGATACGACCCCCCTTTCCTGATTTTTTGCTACCATACATAAAATCATAAGAAAATCCACAGTTTGCAAAATAACACCAGATTTCGCACAGTAATAGCAGGGCTTATCCAAAGTACATATAAATTGTAAGGGCCGTATAAATGGCATTGCAAAAATATTTACGAATTATTGATTGTCATCGTTGATCTAGATGTGCGCTTTTGTCGAGTGTGTGAGACTTCAATGAGGCTTCGGAAGCAAAATTTCTAAGCCGATTAATACATTTCGATTTTTTATTAAGTCTTACATCCTTCAGAAGTGTTTTGAGCTCTTGGGAATGTATTTTTTTTTGAGAATTTGTAAAAAGTTTTTATCCTTGATACTCTTATTTCTAATTTTTTCTAAATTTATTCTAAAAAAATGTAATGGTTATCTGCTTTTTGATTTCCTTTTGAGCTTACGGTTCTCAGCCAAACTACTTTCTCTTACGACCCCCTCTCCACCTTATGTACCCTCTTTACGACCCCTCGTTGCGACAGTCGCATCACACGCTTGACCCTGGTCTGAACACACGCTATAAGATCGTGACTGAGATCGTAACGATTCAAATCACAAAGCAGCATTAAATAGACTCTCTATGAAGCAGCTAGCCCTGAGGAAAGGTGTGTGGGGCTGCAGTCACCCGTATGCCCTAGACCAGACATGGTTAGGGATGCCAAGACAAACGCTACACATGCTTTGGATTGACTTGACCAAAGCTTACTCGGTCACGCACAGAGCCTTAATGTAGACACTAAAACAATGGCACGTAGAGCGGGGAATCCGGCGCTTTCCAGTAAAATTAACAAAATAGCAAATAATCTACTATCAAAGAATACAAGATCGAAAGGCTGTCTACAGCAGAATGCTGTCAGTTCAGAATGGGATCATGCAAGAAGACGCGCTCAGCCCCCTACTATTCGCAATAGTCATATCGCCGATCTCACACTGGCTCAAGAAAAACATAGAACCGTATGTAACAACCACATCGGAGGTCCTTAGAAAGGACACATCTTTTATATGGATGACCTAAAAATCTACACCACCAGATGGGACCACCTGGTGAAAGCCAAGAAAGGTGTGGAGAAAATAGCCGGACAACTGGGTCTATCAATAGACCCACCAAAATCCGCAATCAAATCAATGAATCATCTCCAGATTGGCGAGACAAGGACACCAACCATACCTCGAGAAGTGGGACAGATACCTAATCTTGGAGCACTCTCAGACTATGGATATTTAGGGTTGGAGCAAAATGTGCTCATCAACATAGAGCAACTATGGCAAACGACTGAGTCCGAACTCCTAAAAGCTACCTGGAAAACTCTGCAGAGTAGCTGGACAATAGGTAAGAAGGTCGCAGCTATAAACACCATAGCAATGCCTAAGATAAGATTCGCCTCATCCAATGCAATATTTGGGCAAGGGGAATTCCTGTCCAGCAAGAAATAGGCGCGCGAATTAGACGCTGAGATACGGCAAATAAAGGCTGAAACAGGGCTCAGATATACGCACAACTGCGTCTCTAGACTCTACATAGTGCCCTGAAGAGGGAGGTCTGAGCGTAAGCTCTGCCGAAGAAGAAGTGGAACAAAGCATCGTATATACGTGGTGCTACATAGCAACCAATGTCAACCTTACACCAACATGTCAGGTGGCAGAGACGCTATAGAGACGAAATAAAAGGTCCATAGTGACAGATTTTCAGGCAACCCTGCTGGCAAACAGAGGGCAGAATAAAGCGCACAAATAATGCAAGTACTACCATAGATGGAAAGGAATACACCGAATTCCGAGTAGCAGCCAGGACGATCAAGCGCCTAATTCATGACACATGGCAGAATCACCACTTACAAAAGTGGAAGGCAAAGGACGTTGCAAGTAGAATTATGAAACCTCAAGCCGGATATGGCACCACATTAGCGATTCGGGACTCATTCCTATGGCTAAGCAAAGGCAAAATGGCCGCCCAAACGGCCAGAGATATTGTGGCCATGCAAGAAGCAGCCATAATAACTAAAACACATTCTGGCAACACAAGCCTGCACAGGTGTAAAGATTGGAGTGCCTGTGCGCAACACAAATGCAGAACGGATGTGCTGAGGCTGAAACAATACAGCATATAGTGTCAGCGTGCACGCATTGGAGAATAAATCTCATGATTGAAAAACATGATAAAGTTGCAATGGTCCTCTACGAGGAAAAAAAAAGAAATACAAACTGAACATCACGCCAATAGACTATCAAGAAGAGCAGTGCAAAGTGATAAACAAGAGCAACGTGTCCATCTACTGGAATACCCCGATACCCCGATAGCTACCAATGAGCAGATACGCGATAATAAACCGGACATAATGGTCTGGGATCACTCTAGTCAGTCTAGTCACTCTAGACCGTGAAAAGATCCGGGCACGCGATCAACTTTTTGTACACTTGCTTTAATGCTAGGAATGCTGAGGGCTTCACAACTTGTCCTTTATAAACGACGTAAACTTTGCCGGCACCGTTCTCTTTGCTATTTGACTCCCTCGCTTGCTGACGCAGGCCCGGTCGTGATCACGCTCCTCGCGGGTCATAAACCTCCGGATGTATATGTGATCACAGCCGGGCAAGCTTCGCAGCAACGGCAATTTTTGAGGTGAAACTGCTGCGAAGGAAAGACACACTAGATCAGGCGCAGTCTATTTCCCCCCGGTCGCCCCATTCTGTAGATCTCTAGGGGTCTTGTTTCGATGTCTAATTTATCCAAAATGGACATCACTGAGCTTTCAGTGTGTGCCTGACGTTGAGACGCAAGTGCGTCATTGAATTTCGGCACACCTGAAATCACAATGGCTCGAGATCTCTTGTCTTGCTCGACGAGATCAGCGGGAGCCGGCCTGATCAAATGGATTAATCGATTCAACAGCGGCAAGCCCTCCGGAGCCTTGTCCGATGGAATGAAGTTGAGATATCAACTCACCTTCATCTTCGCCCTGAGGCACCCGCTCATTTAGAATAGCAGAAGAGGAGGCGGCCGAAGAGGAGGCGGCTTCACATTAGATGTAGCAATACCATTTTCCTTTCATTCTTTTGAAGCAGTTCGACGCTATGACACCATGATAGAGAGCAATAGGAACACGACCGCTCGCCGCCAATACACGTGGTCGAATGATAAATATGCTCGATCTGGAGCTGCAGCTCACAGATTCTTCGCTCGAACACTCCTGAAAGTAGTTAGTTGATACACACAGCTACAAAGTAAACAGAACTTAATTCCGTGTGAGCCGACCCCTCTTCGGAACTCGGCCAACCTGACATCAGAGTGCAAACCTGTAATTACAAGATAAGTATAACTCATTCTACGACTAGGAGACGCGGGACCGCATTGCACACATTGTCTGAACAAGCCTAATCGTGTACTTAGCAGGTTTATACATGTTATATATCATGTCCAGGTTCATTCACTCTTTGGAAACAGAAAGGAACAAACTCAGACCTGTTGAGACAATGTCCGCAATGCGTTCTCGTGTCTCCCAGTCACAGAATAGATGATAAAAGATCAGAGACGTAAATCAGAAAGAACGAAGAGTTGCACACTGAAATATGACGGTAAGTAAAGAGCAACAAACAAGTTTCACAGTGATTTCGGAATCTGGATTGGTTTCTACACCTAAGGTCAAGATGTCGAAATAGTGCTTTTCATGCGCTGTAGATGCGATTTTGTGCAGCTCGCGCGCTTTTGCACATTGGAGCGGCCGCCGGCCGGTATGACATTTTGGAGCGGTCACCGTCCGGTATTTAGCTTATTTGGCTCCGCCCAGATTTGAAGAGCGGCCGCCGGCCGGTGCGAGTGTCTAGCATTGAAGTATTTGAAAATGATCAAAATATTGAAAAGGAGAATCCGAGTGGACGCTGCCTTTCGGCAAAGAGTCTGAGGTTTCAAAGCTTGGGCTACTTTTGTATGAATTAGCCATCCTTATCTTACTCAATGCAAAGCATCACTTCTTATTGGTCTACTCTGAGGAAGCTGCTGACAGCCAAACACTGAAAACAGAAGCTCAGCCGAATTCTAGGTTATTACTTTTTCGCCTTGATCGCTCTTCAGCAATTTTTACTTAGTGAATTGAAGGCGATTAGGCTTATCATTCCTCAGACATTCCGGCAGATTCTTGGTCGATGCTGCTCTTTATGTATTATGTAAGCGACTCTATAAAATAAAGCATGTATGCTGAGTGTTACATTTCCTTCTATAACTAAATTCTTGGTTGCCTCTTTCAGGCTGTAGTTCAATGCAAGAATGATGAAGAAGTGATAAAGGTGAGTAATCAGGTTCAAAAATCAAGAAAAAATGATGAAATCCATATCTATATATCATGACTTATAATAAAGTGCTAAGCGTCTGTCCTTTTGTGTTTGTTGTGTATGTCTGTCTGTCGCTAAACAGAGGAAGCTGCAGCCAAGCTATGTTTGCAGTAGTCTTTAGGTCCACTATGCACAAGAACGAACCGGTTTGATAAGCGGGTCCTTCGATTTGCGCATCAAACTGGTCTAGGCGGCTTTTGGCACGCAAACTAGTTCGCTAATTTGACTTTTTAAACTAATGATTTGCCCGACAAGTAAATCTGCGCTCCATAAATTCTAGCCCAAAAAAGTGCTCAAAAAGTTGCTTTTCTGCGAAAACAGAACCAAAAAATGGTGATCGCCTAGGTAGTCGATTTGGCAAGGTTTTACCCAAAAATTGAAAGGATTTCTGCACGGAAATGTAGCCCAAGATGACTACTATTTTTATGATGATTATCACGCCAAAATAAATTCAGTAATCTAATCAAATTCGAATTTGTTCGTTGGCAAAAACAGTTTGCTTTCTCAAAATTACCAATCTTACATGGAGGTGCTTCAAGACTGAAGGGTCGTTTACAATTCATTTGTGATGTACAGCCTCGCGCGGTGAATTATAAAGTCACTAGTGCGTCACCTCTGCTTCGCAGAAGCTCGCACTGGACCCACTTTCTGTTTGTCTCACTCATTCCCGCACAATAATGACATTGAAACTCACGCTATGAGGACTATCGCGCTATGAGGACTATCAGGAATGATTAGTAAACAACTATCCATTCCTAAACCTTTTCCAAGTGAGAGCTGTAATTTCGCGTGAAGAAAACTTTCCTGCAAGAAGATGCAAATTTGAATCAATTTTATTTTTTATGGTTTGGTAGTCGCCGTAAGGACAATAGTAACCGTGAGCTACATCTCTGTGCAAAAATCTTCTCAAATGACCAGGTAAAATTTTGGCAAACTGAGCATTTACGCAATCAATCTTTTTGGCGCCACTTTCGTAGAGTAGTAAACTTTTGTTCACTTTTTAGAGCTAAAGTCCCTGGCTTGCACATGAACTTGTCAGACATATTCATGACTTTGCAAAAAGTGCTACAGGCAAATTTTTGCTGGCCAGAATTTCAACGGGTCCATTTGCAGCGCATTCTTTGAGGGATCCACTCAACGGATCTGCTCGTGCTTTTGCATAGTGAGCTTTCATGCTGGTAGCATACACCATGCGAAATTTGGGCTCAGGATGTTGGCTGCAACATGCTGTACTAATTTCGTAACGGACAGACAGACACATACAGACGTACAAAAACACGTAAACATTCTTAGCCGGTTATTACAAGTTATGATAATATCGAGAGAGGCATACGAATAACAGAGCCAGTGCGAACCACCGCGGAGCGGAGGTGATCTCTGGTACATATACAGTGACCGCCAAAAAGTTGCGGACAAGTCGCCCTCCTGTTTTCAGCGCTTATTTTAAGATGGAAAACAAAGATGAGAAAATGGTTGGATTGCATATGGTGATAGCGCTCACAAGCGCTACAACCCACACATTGCACTTTCCGGATAACATGTATTATGAAAATTTCAATTTTTTTTTCAAAATAAGAATGTCCGCGTCACAATGTCGCGGGTAAAATTCTTCAAAAGCGAAAAATTTCTTGGTCTTTTTGGGGCAAAAACAGAAGTTTTCCGGACAGATAAGCATACTATTATATATTGTAGAGCTCATTGAGGACAATAACCGGGTAGTGGTTACTTTCGAAAAACCCAAGCTTGAATTTTATTTTGCTTTTTTCAAAAAATAACTCCTAAATCCCTTCAAGCCAAGTTTCTTCACATGGGAGCCTATTCGAGACATCCCAACAAAGCTTAGATAGAATGGACGCTCTTCGCCATCTATGCATCGGACGTGTGCTGGTGAGTTTCTTTGCTAAGAATGGCTCTTCACAGTGCGTGCAATGACCTTACCTGTACCTCATCACTGAATGCACAGCTTTGCATTCTTGTACCTCGGCCGGCAGTTCACTCTACGAGCCTGGGCGTAGGCTCATTCGAAAGAGTGAGACTTCCTCGACACGAAGGTTTGCAAATGAGTTGAGTTTGTATCCCGGAAATTCTGCGGATGGGGTGACAAAGCGCAGCTTCAGTGGTAGGCTAAGAGTTCAAAAGTTGAGCAAAGCTCCTTTCGCCACCAATTCCATCCTGAAAAATCAAAACTCATTTTCTTGTAATAGATCCATACCGGAGCTCTAAGAATGTTCTAGTGTTAATAGGAGCCTCCACTCCAAAATCGTCTATGGCTGCGCTTTACCACCCCATTGTAAAATCTCCGACATTTTTGAAGTTCAACTCTTTTGCATACCATCATGTCGAGGAAGTCACGCTCTTTACAACGAGCCTACGCATAGGCTCGTAGAGTGATTTTCCGGCCCATAAGCCCGTGAAGCGGTGCAAGTCAGTGGTGTGGTGCAGGTGGGGTCATGTGCACGCACTGTCAAGAGCCATTTTCAGCAAAGAATCTCATCAGCACACGTCCGATGCACAGTGGATGGCAAAGAGCATCCGTTTTATCCGATTAGCTTTGTTAGATTTTCTTGAATAGGTTACCATGTTTAAAAAAAGCAAAATAGAATTCAAGCTTGGGTTTTTCGGAAGTAATCAATGCCCGGTTGTTGTTCTCAATGAGCTCTACAATGTAGTATGCTTACCTGCCCGGAAGACTTCTGTTTTTGCCTCCAAGAAAAGACCTAAAGGAAATTTTTCGCGTTCGAAGAATATTGTCCGCGACCATTGTGACGCGGCCATTCTCGGACTTGTTTTGGAAAAAGATTCTTAAAGTCTTCGTAATACATGTTTTCCGGGAAGTGCAATGTGTGAATTGTAGCTCTTGTGAGCGCTACTACCACATCAATCCAACCATTTTCTCATCTTTGTTTTCCATCTGAAAATGAGCGCTGAAAACAGGAGGGCGACTTGTCCGCAACTTTTTGGCGGTCAATGTATAAAGCTGAGTGTTGGTAAATTGTTAATTAGTGTGTTCTTTATGGAAACTTTTTGTGCGCAGACAATTCAGCGCAAAACTTCCACACAAATATTTTCGACGCCTACCCACCGTAGGCTATTTTTCGCTTCGGAAATCCCTCTCCCTATGTTGATTTATCAATTTTGAAGAAAAATGAACTCTTACCGGTACTATCAAACATATTCGTCTTTCGTGTAAACAACAGCGGGTAGAACTCATTTCTATCCCGCGATGAGGAAATGCGATAGTTCAAGGCGATGCGATTAGGAAGTTTAAGAAGAAGTAGAAGTAGAAGGAAGCCAAAACGCAGTGAGTTGAGCTTATAAGTTGTGCGCCAATCTTGCGCATTGTTGAGCCAATTAGATCCTCTATGCGGGCGAGGCCGGGCATACCAGCTAGTTACGTGTATTAATGGAATAAGGGTGTTTACGTGTTTGTGTTTGTTTATTTGTGTATGTATATGTATGTGTGTATATGTATCGGGGGCGCGACATAATTTCCTGAGTGAAAGTGTATGGCGTTAGCCACGCACTCAGAAAAAGTTTTTGGGACGCTTCCCGAAATTTTTCTGGGTTTGCGACCTTAAAATTCTAGATAAACCCCGAAAAAATTTTTATTAGGTTAATTTGAATTTCTAAGAAATTTTAAAAATTATTTTAATTGAAGCGAGTTCAGCCAACGTCCTGAGCCTGAAGTTTGCATAGCGTTTGCTACCAGCGTAAAACTTCACCACGCAAAAGAACGAGCGAATCGTTGGGTGGATCCTTGAAAACTTGCGCGCCAGACGGATCCACTTGGCTTCTAATCCGCAGGATTGGGTCAGTATCAACCTTTTTGCAAGGTCGTGGATGTATTTGGCATATTGATATGCAAGCCATTGACTTTAGACCAAAAAGTAACCAAAGGTTTACTACTTTAGGAATACGGCGCCAAAAAAATGGTTGCGTAAATAATCAATCCCTCGTGCTTTCCCGAGCATTTGAGAAGACTTTTGCATAGAGATGTAGCTCACGGTAATTATTATCCTTATGACGATTAGCAAGCCAAAAGAAGTTTCAAAACCTATTCAAGTTTGCATTTGTTCTTCTGCAAAGCTTTGCATTTACGCGAAAACATCGATCTCACATGAAAAAGCTTTTGAAATGAGTAGTTGTTTACATTTAATTCGCGATAATCGGCATTGTGCCTTGAACTTTAAACCCATCATTAGGCGAGAATGAGTAAGACCTATAGAGTAGGACCAGTGCGAGCAGCTGCGAAGCAGAAGTGACGCATTGGTATATACATAACTCGAAGTCTGTGATCATGTTCGTTCGTTCGTTATAGAAACGCCAGCCGCTGAACCTATAGAGCCAAAGCTCCGCACACGCAAGTTTTCGGCCCTGACGCTGGCTTAGGGAGCCTCCAGACCGCGCCGGGGCCGCGCCGGTTGTCGCTTTTGCAGCCGGTAGCTGCTTTCGCGCCGGTTGCCGCTATTGCAGCTGAAGCGCACTGTGTCAGATTTTGTCTTTGGAGCGTAGCCTATTGGCGCTAGATGCTAGGTTTTTCGATTTATTTGTCATCACTCTTTTGTTTCCAAGTTCTCTTCTTTGCTGTAGTAATTCATTGCAGATATGGTTCGTTTGATGTGGATTCCTTTTTTCGGTTGTCTACGATGCTGAAAAAATCGATTCATTGTCGAGTGAAACCCTTTTAGTCTAAAACCCGCTGTAGAGCTATTGCTGGATTGCAAGGCAAGGCCTTTTCGACGTCTATTTCGTTCTGAAACTGGTTTACTACGCTGGATGAGCGAGTGCGAAAGTACTTTCTTTGTTTTTGAAGTTGTTCTATCGTGCCGTAGTAGCGATCTAGCTGCAAAACTCAAATTCTCTGTACTGTTTTTGCTCTTGGTACTTCACTACGCTGACTAACTCTTTTCAAAGCGAAGTCATTTGGTGCCTTCACCTTCTCCATTCAAGGTATA